AGTAATTGAGCAATTAGATTCCTTGTTTCCATTGAAATCAATGTTTTATTTCTTATAATCCGTAATAGACAAGTTACATTTCGACATACCTGCAGTTACATTTCTTATCGGCGTGAGTTACATTTTTTTACACACGAGTTACATGAGTGTGCCACTGGGACAATGAAATAAAACAAAAACGAAGTTACTGTTCACGCGTGACCAGTAACACGCATTTTTTGAATCTGGGAGCAGCATTCTCACCGTGGGCTACTCCCACGGTATAGCAACTGTTTTTCCACTAGTGTCTTAATCATTTCTAAATTATACTACTTCCGTCCCACATAAATTTTAACTGGTATGCAAAGAAAAGACGAGACAATCTTAATCGAACGAAAGTATATTTTAAAAGAAAACGTTTGCATGGAGAATGAAATTACGCATAATACCCAGGGGCAGTCTTGGTAGTTGGTCCAGCAACTAGTATAAATGGAAGCTCTGATCAGTTCAACTCTTTCTATAGTGGAGTAATAACTTAACCAGCCTTTCCCAGGTATATAATTCAAACCTCCTGGAATTCTCAAGGATACATATATATAAGCAGGAAAAATATACATATAGTTATCTATTGCTGGCCTAGCTGAACAATAATGATGTGTCTCATGCGCCTGCTCCTGCTCCTCACCTTCTCCCTCTTCTGCCTTTCCCAGGTACATAAGAAATATCTTTATGGTCTAGAAATTTGAGTCGGATTAGATTAAAGGGTATAAGTTCAGCTTAATGGGAAAAAATTAAGCATTTATACTACAAATTTTAAGAAAAAATAGAATTGCCTATTCAATCTACCATATCTATACAGTAGATCCACCCCTCTTAAATGGATATATTTGTGATCCATCCAACTAACCAGATCTATAGCTCGGATTATATGAGAATTTAGCCGAGTAACTTTTTGCGTGCAGTATAGATTAATTTAATTTTTTGGAACAAATCCTATATATACGAATAGAATCCCACACCGGAAAAGTTTGAATCAATAAAGTACTATATTAAGACATGTGAAACCCGGGTCTTAACAACTACTTTGAGTCTTTGACCTTATTCTCTTTTATTGATGGGAAAATGGGTTTCAACTTTCAAGTCCGTTTTTCATAAATTTCAATTTACTCATACAGCTTTGATTTAATTCATTTAGTGTTTAACTCGAGTTTAAACTAATCATCTATAGTAATTGATTTATGTCAATTTAGAACAAAAAAACATTTGAATTACGACGTAGATGATTTTTGTGGAGTACGTCTTGATATTTTTATGTGAGGTTTTATATATTAAATTTTGGAAACTATTACGTGACAATACAAATTGAAGTTAGATAGTCAAAAAGACTAGAACTAAAATAATGTGATCATCCAAATTAATATCCTGAATCTGATAAAATATTCAATCTCCGTCTTCATTATTGTCTCCAAATTGATCCTAGGTTTTGGATGTTAATCGATATTTACACGAAGGAGGTGTAGTAAATAGTAATTTGCCACGATTAAGTACAATGGTAAAAAACAAATATTAAAATTCTACGTAGTATACTTCATCAACTCATCTAGGTTCTTATCGCTTCAAATCTTATTTATTATTATGGGTATGTTTGGCACAAATAGCTGAAAAGATACTTTTATGAGCATTTTAATACGGAGTAACTGTTAGCTTTCGATGACTGAAAAGATCTTAAAAGAAAAGTCGGTAGCTGTTTGATAAAAAGCTGACTGTTTGATTTAGTTCAATTTGGTATACAAGCTGTTAGGACTAATTAATACTAAGAGTCACGAGCTTTTCTCAGATGCTACTTCCTGTAACATCTCAAAAAAGATCTTTTAATTTTTGAAAAACTCTTAAAAATTGGCATGTCAAACATATAACTAGAAGGTTTTAGAGACTTTTTGAACAGTACAAAAGCTTGGAATGTAAAATGTTATGGATTAATTTTACATGGGTCTTATTTTATCATTTTTAACTTGGTCGCCAACTGACCCCACGAGCATGTGAGGGCTGTCCGATGCATTAGATCGGACGGTTGAGATTCGCAACGTCATTGACGGCATGCAGCTCACACACATTGCACTGTTCCACGCTCCACGTACTCGAATGTGGGCCCAAGTGGATGTCCTGAGATGCCGCGGTGGCAGTCAGTTCAGCTGCCCACGTGGCAAATGAGTGACATAGTTTGTTCGGTTCAACTAATGTAAGAATGGGTTTTCGTGAAGATGGCGGTGCAGGTTTCATCTCACGGTGAGGTTGAAGACTTCCAAACTCAGGTTCTATTCTTTTTCTTTTTCCACAAACTTCATTTCTCCTTTTGCTCATGATATTTACCATTTTGGTGAATGCTGAACCACTTTAAACTAGATTAGATTAAGATTCCCTAAAATAGAAGTATAAAAGTTTTGAAATTCCAAAATAAGAGTATCATGTTTTTTATTCCTTGAATAGGAGTAAATTTCTGCTAAGTTTGACATTACTAGACTTTAAAACATGGTATTTTTCTCCAAACTTGGCAGATTACTCCTATTCAGGGAATAAAAAACATGATACTCCTATTTTGGAATTTCAAAACGTTGTTGCTCCTATTTAGAGCAATTTCTATAGTTTAATCTAAGAGAAATTGCCCTAAATAAGAGTAAATGAGGTTTGGAATTCCAAAATAGGACTACTATGTTTTTCTTTCCGAAATAGGAATTGTTACTGCCATATATGAAAAATACTGCCATATTTGAAAAATACTGCCACTAATTATAATAAATATTGTCATATTAAATGCACTGTAGTGCAACTATTTGACAGGCACGCTTACAAGATGGCAGTAAATACTGTCATGTTAGTCGTATTTTGGAATTTCAAACTCCATTTACTCTTATTTAATTTGGGAAATCTCCCTTAATTATTCTATAAGACATTATATTAGAGAATGTAAATAGTGTAAAAGCAAACTGACGCAAATATAAAAAAGAATGAGGGCAGTAATATCAAATACACATGTATAAGATCATACGTAGTATCAAATTAGTTCAGGCCATATCCAAACGATCAATTTCGACTAAATCAACAAACCAAATTAAGATCTAAATGAATCACCGTTAAGGGTCCTGATTTCTGATTTTGATCTTAAACTAAATAAAAATATATAAAAATCCTCTGCAGGTTGTCAAAGGTCCCAACAGGAGGCTCTTACCTTTTCTAGGTAACGTATTTCATGTTGCAAATCAGAATTCATATTTAGACTCAAATTTTAAAGTTAAATAGTTAAAATAGAGATTATTATGCCTTTTTATTTTACTTTTATTCTAGCATCAGTTCAAATAAATAAATAATGTACTAGTATTAGAGTAACTTCATTTATAAAAACACTACTTTCATCTATGCGTCTGGAAACATATTTGACGCTAAAGCTGTGCACAGATCAACTAAAGATTTGAACATGAAGAAATTGTAGTAGTCGTAATAACTCAACTACTTTTACATAGAGCCAAAATACTAAATAGACTTATGTTTAATTCGAAATCATATTGTTTCTTTGGTGACAAAATTAAACCTTTAGGAAAATCTTGATTCGCATCAAAGTATCTTGGAAAAGGGGGCAAATAAGCCGATGTACTAACCAAAAAAAGGTCCGTATATAGTAGACTATGTCCGGTGAAAATTTTTGATGCAGTTTTTTGAGCATATTATTTAGTTTACTCATACCAAATTTCAGCTAAAACGTCAATTCGGAAACCAAATTTCAGCTAAAACGTCAATTGGGAAGGCACTCCAATGAATTCTTGAAGATAACTACGCTTTTAACTGCGTATATTCAAGAATTTATCTGAATGCCTTCCCAATTGAATTGTTAGCTGAAACTTGTTATTAGTAAACTAGACTTAATGAATAAGATTCTCAAAAAAAAATCATCAAAAAATTCCAGACAGAGCCTCCTTAAGGGCTTATTTGCCCCTTTTTCCAAGTATCTTCCCTTTAAAAACATCCAAACACTCAGATTTAGGAAAACCTTCAAACCAGGGTTCATTTCAGAGATTGAGATACCTACTCAATCTTTTATTGCATCCATGGCAGTTAACCGAAAAACATCTTGGTTCATTTTACTGAATCTAAATTCAGATAATTCTTTATTGCCAAATGGATGAATGAAAATTACCCAACCCAAAAAGTTGTAAAAAGGATAAATAATGAATGCAGACTGTGGAGGGATGTGCAAACTGAGGTGCAGTGCGCATTCAAGGCCAAATGTATGCAGCAGAGCGTGTGGGACCTGCTGTACCAGATGCAAATGTGTTCCACCTGGCACCTACGGCAACCGCCACCTCTGTGGCAAGTGTTACACCGACATGATGACTCATGGCAACAAACCCAAGTGCCCCTAGATTTTCCCATCTGCCCCCACCCCTCCCTACCCTACTACCCTGCCCTTACTCACCCTACTGTCCTACAAGGATCACCTCATTCCTTGTTATTTGAAACCTGAAATAAAAGCAAGTCACTTTCACCTTGGTTTGCGTTGCAGTTAATAATTGAAGTGTATGTTGCTACTCCGTATTATTATTAGTAGTTGACTAGTTGTTGTTGGCCTTATGGGGTCAGTATCTGGATCAGTGGATCTTAACAGTAGTGTTATTACATGTCTGTTCAGCTGGGTGAAAATTTTGAGTCGCAATAAATTAGTTTGTTTGCTTGCTTGCTTTAATTGTCCATGTCAGTTTTTACAGTAATTTAGAATTTTTTACAAGTCCTGCTAGAAGTGTCCTAATGGAGACAGTTTGGTTCAAAATTTTCTGAGGAAACATGGTTGGTACACTCCTTTCTGTCACAAATATCTTGAGAAATGCTCAGTCAGCTAGTAATGATGAATGGAGTAGTGTTCAGACTCAGACAATGAATAAAAAATAAGCTTACAAATAATACTGGCCTTACTTTCACGCCAAGAGGCATATATAGTCTTTCTCTTCTATTCTTTGGTCCGCGCCGATTAACCTCCTCTTCATCTTCACAGCCCACTATTGATCAAGGAGTCTGCAATGAAATTTTTCCACTATTGGTTAGCATTTTTACTACTCCCTCCGTCCCATTAGAAGGTTCCCGTCCACTATTCTCATGATCAACTTAAATCATTTTTAATCTTTTGCTTTATAAATCAAATTTTTACCAAATTTACATTTTTTTATCCGGCTTTGCAGCGGTTTTTATGTAGTTTCTGAATATGTTAATTTTATTTACTAAAAATAATCAGAGTGTGAACAGGGATTAAGTTGTTTTATCGTCAGTCAAGCATCATAAACCGTTCACGGGAACCTTCTAGCGGGACGGAGGGAGTACCTTTTGATTTTTCAATTTGAGTCTTCTAACTATTGTCACACTAAAATGGTAGACTTTTTTGAACTTTTTTGAGGATCACTTTTGGTATTCGTCTCTGGATTAATTGGAGGACTAAAATGTCATCCTTACAGTAGTCATAAGGATTAATTGGAGGACTAAAAGTGTCATCCTTACGGTAGTCACAAGGAATAGAAGTTGAAGGTTCAAAACCAGATGTCTCTTATAGTCGTTAAAACAGAAGTACCCAAAGTATGACAAAATATTTAAAGGACTGAAAGTTAAAAATTTGAAACATGAGTACCAAAAGTGTCATTGTCACAATATTTAAAGGACTAAGTACAAAGAAACAATCTGCAATTATCTTTACTTTTACAAACCTTCAACTAAATATGCATCAATATATCGGGCTAATGGAAGTAGGCAGAGCTTCATCACGCGAGAACATGTTCTTCCATGACTGCTACACCATCCATGTTTATAGATCCTGGTATATTATTTACATATGAAGTGTCGATTCATCAACCAAGCATGATGTTTGACCACGGTTTACCATTTTGAGACAATGTAGATAAACAAGTGTGATTAGATTCAATTACCTCTCTTCTTAATCTTATTTCGGAATCCCCGCTTTCGACTGAAGGCCTTCTCCTGCAGACACATAAGAGAAGGTGAAATTATTGGTTACTAACGGCCTTCTCCTGCATACACATAAGAGGAGAAGGTGAAATTATCGGTTACAAAGTGATCTTTGAAAGCACAACGATCCATGAAAGCACAAGTTTTCTTGACTTTCAAGCAAATCTGCAAATAATTTATAATAATAGTTCGACCCCAGAGCAAGATGGCCCACATCACTCATTTCCCTTAAAGGGAAGATATCTTATAGATTTCATTCTAAGGAGAACAAACAGAGACCAAAAGTTCAAAATCTTTCAAAAAAACTTACCACTGGTTCCCCAAGGTTTTCGGCCCGACGAACGGTGGAGACGAGATCCCTGTTTGATTTAGTAAACAGGCTGGTCACCAGCCCAGAATGACCTGCTCTGGCAGTACGGCCAACCCTATGCAAAAAATCTACAGCAGATGTAGCAAATTCTGCCTATCATGAAATACAAAAAAAATTATGGCATTGTTAGATTCCAAATCAGCTCAGCCTCAAATGAGAGAGAGAAAACTCCCACAATTCTGAAAGTTCTAGTAAAATCAATTGCCGCATTATAAATGGCATCAATGGTTTCAACGATCAGTAATAAGCAAAAATGTACATGACTTCTATATCCCTAGTTCCCTACACGCTTGCAACCTTTGTAAAGTATTCCCAATATCGTTCATTATTACAGTGGATCTTGGCATTAGTTTCAGAACTACGCTTATTCCTATTCCTACTTATTACGATCATCCTGTTCAACCCGGAAATTACCCGTAAGGTATCGGGTTATGAAAATTAGGGACCGAAACAAAGCCCACTATATTCGGTCCGAGTCGGGTTTTTTGTAGTCCGGGTTCGGGTTGGGCCGGTTAAAGCCCGAATGTGAAATCGCTCATTTTTCTTTTATATTTTAAAATCTATTTTCAAATAAAATTAATAAAAAGTACAAACCGCAAATAAAATTAATAAAAAACACAAATATTAGTCTCCAAAATCACAAAGAATTCAAATCCAAATAAGACAATTATCATAACATTTTGTTTAAGATGCATAAAAATTAATAATATAGGTGTTCTAAAAATGTTAAGAAATAAAATTTATGGATAAAAATGTGACTAAAGTTACTATAAATATATTTTCATGGTCATTGCGGTAAATAAATTGAACATATTTGTAGTCACTAAAAGTTACTAAGTCATTTTTTCATCCACCATGATTATAATCATATATTAGGAATTAATTTATAAATTATATTGGTATATGTTAGAACACTGATATTTGATTCACAAAACAATATAGCATCCAATAGCGCAAACAGTATATTGAGAGAAAATGTCGTAAAAGGTGTACAGGGGTGGGACAGTTCGAGATGCCCAGTCTCCAAGCCTAGCCAAATTCGACTGAATATTTGCCTGCCGTCTCCTTTCCCCCCTCCCTTACTATTTATAGTACTTCTATTTATAATACAAGCCCATTTATTAATATTTACAATAATAGGCCCACTTATTATTATATCTAATAATAGGCCCATTCCTATCAATACTCCCCCCTAAACAATCACCTTGTCCTCAAGGTGGGTGATAGGACTCAACCATGATCTTCCACTTCCACTTTTCTGGCACCTCTCCCTTCCCAGTACAACATTGCATTCTGGATCTTTCCCTTCAACACTTGAGCCATCCTCTTTACCTCCTCCATCGCATGAATGAGCAAAAGCAATGACACTGTTGGGTCATGCTTCCCCGCTTTGTCACTCCATCCAAGTGATTCCTGAATCTTGCTGTTGTCATTACTTTGGAGGGTTGTTCCTTCAGGCTGCTCCAACACTTTTAAAGCCTCAGAGTTGGTAAAAAAATCTGCCCTGAAAGTAGTTCGTAGTGTCTCAAAAATCCTATTCATAGTGTGGTTGATGAGTGATGACAATAAGTGCTTGAAGTGTGGCCAATCGACTCCTGAGTCTGTATTAGTTAAAAACTGTGACATTGCTTGACAAACATTTATTTTTACAGGAGGAGGCACATCCTTGCCGATTACCTTAACTGCTGCATACACAAATTGCTCAACCCTTGTGGCAATGTCTTCTACCCGAATTTTCTCCCAAATATTTCCTACAGCAGCACCACCATTTCCAGAAACCTTTGTTACAAATATCTTCTCTGATACTGGAGCTAAGGTGAAAAAAGTAGTGTCTGGTATTTTCCACCGAACTGGGGATTCAATAACCCTTTTTTCTTCCACTTTAGCAAAGAATGTGTTGGTATCCCTCAACCAGATCCTGGTGTGGGCCTGCTGCATTCTTATCTGCAGAAAATCAATGACACCATACACCAACTCCTCCAGACTAGGCCTCATTACATTTTCACACTTGTTCCTATCCAAAATTGTCAACAAGAGCTTAGATAGATTGCCTGAAGGTATTTTCTGTTTCCAGCTACGAAAAGGAGTACCTAAGTGAAAGGAATTCCTGGATGAATAATCCACTAGAATCCAAGGCAACAAATCAAACATGTCAACAATCATATGGATATGATATCAAGCACAACCACATGCTTTCCCATCCCTTGTGTCAATATTAGCAGTCTAACCCCAGCAGCTTCCTTTATTCCTACCCCTTGCTCAATCACCCCATGACTTTGCGTTGAAACATCCAGGCAGTCTCCATTAGAACGCATAAGGCCTTCCATGTTGTTCCCTCCCACTGCTTTCAGCACACCATCTGTGGTCCCCATAGTTAAGAACTCTAATTCATCTTCTGTGATAAGATAGTGAGTGGCGCAGTACTTTTTCAGCATCACTATTGTTAACTACTTTCATAAGTTCAGAATTATAACCTTGAACATAGCTCACAAACTATCAAACCCTGCAGAGGATCTAATTTGATTTGGTATTTCAATTTTGTCCTTTTTCTCAGACTTTGATTCATCCTCTTCTATTTTCTCAGTTTCCATGGCAATGGACTGAATCACCACAGAAGTTTTCTCCCCTCGTTTTTCATCACCAATGATGAGTGTATCTTCAGAGTTAGGTTGTAGCTGACTCACTGACTGATGCGGGAATGAAACTGACTTCACTTGCGGACTGTGAGAAGCAGAAATATGCGATGAAACCTGCGGTGAGTCCTGCGAACTGAGATGAGTCGCACACTGAACTCTGTGAACTGAGACCTGCGAATTGGTAGACACTGTTCGCGACTGCGCCAGAGATGAGGTCTGCAAATTAAGCAAAACTGTTCGCGAAGGCGTTGAAGCGGTTTGGGATGACATCTGCGAACGGGAAGCCTCTTTTGATAGAGTTTTACTCGGTCGTGAACTGCTGGCGGATGAAGAAATCAACTCAGGTTGAAATCTACGAATGATAGATTTTTTAAGAGTGTCCCAGTTAGTTTCTTCAGTCCGGTACTCCCACGAATGAAACCAGTTCAAAGCCCTATCTTCCATAGCAACCCTAGAAGCTTCAACCTTCTCTTCTTCTTCTATATGATTAAGTCGAAAATATCTCTCCATTCGAATAATCCAATTATATACTCCCTCACCATTAAACAATGGTAAGTCAATTTTCCGACCAATACGAACAGGTATTCTTGCATAATCATCATGACGAGGGTGAGCATGATTACTATGGTTAGCGGACTTACCTCTGGGGCGCACTGGACTGCGCGACATTAGCGATCGTTCCCTTTCTTGGAGTTTTTCGTTCATCGCTGCCATAGTAGCGTTGATGTTTTCCATCGCGGATCTCAATTCCGACTGTAACTCCGTTCGCACTTCCAGTAGGCTTCGCTCCAAGGAATTTACTCGATTCTCCATAGCTCGCGTTCTGACCATTCACACCAAGAACGATTGTCTCCAGGTATTGCGATACAAATTTCCGGTTACCAACAACGGTGCTCTGATACCATTGTTAGAACACTGATATTTGATTCACAAAACAATATAGCATCCAATAGCGCAAACAGTATATTGAGAGAAAATGTCGTAAAAGGTGTACAGGGGTGGGACAGTTCGAGATGCCCAATCTCCAAGCCTAGCCAAATTCAATTGAATATTTGCTTGCCGTCTCCTTTCCCCCCTCCCTTACTATTTATAGTACTTCTATTTATAATACAAGCCCATTTATTAATATCTACAATAATAGGCCCACTTATTATTATATCTAATAATAGGCTCATTCCTATCAGTATATTATATTGATTTTATATTAAAACTAATTGTTTCGGGTTTTTATCGGTCCGGGCCGGGTTATAGATTTTAGGGCCCGTTAATGAGCCCGAAATTTCGGGTTCAGTCTTGGGTTTTTTTATTCGGGCTGGTCAAAAAGAAAAAAAACCGGACCAATATCATAATTCGGGCCAGGGCAGGGCCGGTTTCCGGGTTTCGGTTTTTCCCACCCCTAATCCTAACCCCAGCTTGGACGCTGGTAAGAGTGTCCGTGCTTTATTGCAATAAGTTAACCTTAAAATTTAAATATCACCCTGAAAAATACATGTAAAAAACAAAAATTAAAGGTTGCTACCTTAAAAGTAATTAAGGTCTGCAAAGATGAAGTTATGCTTTGTTTGATTTGAATAGAATTAGGAGAGAAAGAAGTCGGGAGGGAAGTGAAGATTACAATTTTCTAGGAGGGAAAAAAGTGGTGGACCCATTTAAAAATATATACAAATATACAATACATCCGGATGTGCATCGTGGATTTGGCAGAAATTGCAAAAACACAAATGGGTCTATAATTGATAAAATGATATACTCCCTCCATCCCATTTATATCTTTACACTTTCCTTTTTGGGATGTCCCATTTACTTCTTTACGTTTTCTTTTTACATTAAAGTATCCAAAATACCCTTCACTACCACTCCCATTCTACATTTACTTGGCCCATTAAACATACATTTATCCTTTTATATCCCCAGAAGCTTCTGTGTATCCTCCCAATGGGCATGGACGGTGGAGATGAAAAATTGAGACGGGCTCTTGGTCCTTCCTCTGCTATTTCATTCTCCGCACAAAACCTTCTGGACGCCATCGCCATCCTCTTCTTGTTGTGTCGCCATTGTTGTGCAAAGGTGGCCATTTGTTCTGTTTGGAAGTGGCCGCCGGAATTCGCAAGGTCTACCCATAATTTTGTGCCGTCACTCCATTGATCTCACATTGTGACATACTTTACCCATAATTTTGCAAATGTATATGTGTGTGGCGGGAGATCCCAATTCGTCCTCACTCATCGGTCGACAGCCCATCGGTCGCCCAATTGCAGAAACACGAGTTTCTCTTCCATTGAATTGCAAATCATAAGAATGGGTGTTTGAAGTTGTCAAGTGTATGATTTATCAAGAGTTGCTGTGGTAAAAGTTGGAAGCTAGCAGTAGACTTTAGGAAGAAAGAGAGGAAAGGCGTGAATTTGTTAGGCAAGTGATGGAAGGGCAAGATGGGAAAGCTTGGCTTGATATTTGTTCTCCTAATATACCGTGCCAAATCGAAATGTCAAGTTCTATCCGGGACGGAGAGAGTACTTTTTTTGCCCCAGAAACTAGGAAAGGAATGAAATGATGTATATAACAATAACATCTGGGTTGTACACTACACAAATACTCAGTATATTATTAGAGTGGAGTTTGTCTTTACACTATACATTCATTTTCTTCTTTCTTCTTTACTTTTGCCTATTTCTCTCACAATCCAAACAACCTAAAAATCTACTCAGTTTCTCTGTGCTCATACTTCTCCTACTATTCGAAGGAAGTAGGGAACAAACTTATCAAAACCGGAAATACCTGAATAACATGTGAAACATCTGGGACATCAAGACCGCGTGCAGCGGCATCAGTGCACACGAAAACGCCGCCGCTCTGCTGAAAACTAATTAAGCTTTCTGTACGTTGCTCCAGAGAGCAATTACTGTGGTAGCAGAAACATTTGATCCCTGCCTGGGTCAAGATCTTGGCAACAGCTTCCACGGCATCAACCGTGTTCGCGAACACCATTGTTCTAAGTGCTCCAGAGGAGTGGATTCCATCTTTTACAGCATTTATCAAAGTATCAGCCTGAGTGTCCGTTGTAACTTCAATCCACCTCTGCTCTAACCTGAGAGGGCACGGATACACATCATGTGAGCTTTTTTCGTTTGTAGTAAATGATCATACGCTTTTAATAAAGCTGCAAAACAGAAACACTAAGATCTAGTTTGGTAGACTGTAATAAGTTAATAACATGAAATGGAGCAAAATATGTTTTTCCTTTTTTATGTATTACACATGCATTTAATCACATTCATTCCACTTAAATTTTTCTTACCAAATTACACTTCAATACACTTATCATCACGAACGTTGGATTATGGAATCAATTGATCATGATTTTTCTCTATAGCACCTCCTTCGTAAAAAAAAGTTGTAGTCTTTATGTCTTTGTTTGATTCCAGGATTTTGAAAGGGAGGGATGACATTTAATTGTAAACTAATCTTATATTTTGCTGGTCGGAAATAGAGTGAAGATTGAAAAAGAACTATGTAGGAGCACATTATTTAACTAATCATGAAGTTATTTGTAGTGAAGACTAACAAGAAAGGGTAAATAAGTAAAGCATAGATCAAACCAGTTCTTAGACTGCAGAATAACTGCTTGGTATATGTCAGTTAAATAATGCATTTTTATTTAATGTATCATCTTCGCATTTTGTTTAACCATCTAAATGTAAGAATAGAATTGATTTTGAAAAATACCAACCAGTCCCATTTCAGCACATCCGAAATCCCCCAACCAAACAACAGTTTCGTTTCAAAAGTCATATGATCAAGTGAATAGCATTGTTAGGCAACTTAATCATCATACATTCATACCACACAAGGAAAGTTCAAAAAGACAATAAGGTCATCAATCATGCATCCCTATAATTGATAAAAGAATGTCAAAGCTTACAACAGAGGAAATGGTTATATGAATAAGATACTCAGCAGCTGCTTCTACTAATGCTACTAGGAGATGATGATGATGATGATGACAGTAACAGTTAATAAGTAATAACAAAAACAACAACAATAATGAACAATATGAACTAACTGCCACTATTGGGGGCTGGGGGTTATAGAAGAAAGGGCACCTTGGGTTGTGGCAATGGAGGTAGTTTCCACTGACCCAGCATGCATCAGGAAACATCCGTTTTAACACTCCTCCAGCAGTTTTTTTCCCATTCTCAGGAAGTGTGGCAGCTACAAAAATGTACTGCTTACTTCTCACATATGTTTTTCTCACTCTTCTCCAATCTGTTCTCTTCCCAACCTTGCAATCAATTTCTGACTCTGTTACACTAGAATGATCTTCCGAATCATCTTCTTTGTTGCTGCAATTATCTTGTGGCTCCCCATTGTCCTCTTCATGGTCATAAACAGGAGGAGAATTGGGGCCCGGGCCCATCAATATCTCACTTTCAGGATTTTTTAAGCAGGATGCTTGTTTCTCATCAAAACGGAGCATATTTATGAGTCGAATGACTTGGTTTTGGAAACTCCCACAAAGAAGCATGTCTGCCTCATCAAAAACCTGGTGTTACATCAAAAACCTGGTGTTAATAAAACAGATGATAAGAGTTACTAATCAGAAATGAGGAACCCCTAAGCTTTGTTTGGATAAGGATGGAAATAGGGACGAAAGAAATAGGATAGAAAGATCGTGAGTGGGAAATAGGTAGACTTTTTATTTTTCTGGCCGAAGAGAAGGAGAGAAAGAAATGAGTATCTGATGTGAGGACATATTTAACCTTTACAAGATACAAAAAGTACTCAAAATAAAATGTTAAAGTGTGTGACTTTAACTATTTATTCAAACAAATCCTTTTTCTTCAATCAAAATCTCTCCACCAACCGCCGTAGAAGAAAAGCTTTTGTGTAGTATCCACCAACTTTTTCTCTCACATCCCAGCTTCCTAGTTTATTCCTTATCAAAACATCTAAAAATTTGTTTTCATCTCCAGCTCTCCCTATTTATCTTCCCAAAATCCATCTAAACAGGCAAATGGCATATAAGCTGAGTGATATTGGATTTATATTGAAAGAAAATTTACCACATGTGTCACACTACGTATAAAAGCAGTATGGTGGCAATTCTCTGAGTCAATTGTGTAAATATAATTTAAAAGTGCAGCTGGAGTTGACACCATCACATCTGGTTTTTTCACTGGCCAAGTCTGCATGATATTTTTCTTAACAGAGTTAATGAACAGTTCATAATGTATAGTGAGACGGCAAACAAATGAGCAAAATGCAATGCAGAAATGATGGGGAAGTTAGTCCAGCATAACTCTTATTGGTTCGGGTTATTCTCAAATAACTCTCGATTACTCCCTCCGCCCCCTATAATTGTCCCATTTTTTCATTTTTGGATGCCCCCTATTATTGTCTCATACCATATTTGGTAACATTTGTGTGGCTCTAATTTATTCTTACTTTATTCCCACTTTATCAACTCATTATCAACCACACAATTCTACTTTTCTTATAAACCACACCACTTGCTTCCGTCCCAATGTTAGGGGGGCGGAGGTAGTATAAGATAAGTTAGATAACCCCTCCTTGAATATAACATCGGGTTGCAGATATGTCAAATTACCAGATATGTTTAGTTAAGATTGTGAGAATGCCATACTAATAATATCTTTGTTTGAGGTAATGCTTTAGAGTATGATGATTAATTGTCAAAAATACCCTTACACAGTAACATAAAAACAAAAAATCGGTGTTGTCAATCCCGGATAGCGGAGCGTAGAGGCGAACCCCAAAAACGCTATAGCAGTATAGCGGATAGCGGATAGCGGGATGAGCGCTATTTAGACTACTTTCAAATAAAATAGATAAGTAACTGCTGGAAGCATATACTCTGTATAATACATTACATACACATTTTGAATTCAAAAAGTATGATACTACGTATATGCCAATGAAGGTTGCAAACATCTTAAGTCTTAACATTCATAAATCCTAAATTACATAGAAATACTCTTTAGTTTCATGAGCAAAACATAAGATGCTATTAAAGACAGTAGACTCCATACAAGATGATAAAGAACTTTGTTGTACTTGTACAAGATGAATAATGAGAAGAAGAAAAGAAGACTGCAGCAAAGGTTGATCTTCTTGTAAAAGATGTTGCAGTAGAAGTAGAAGAACGAAAGAACTCAAGAAGATGAAGCAGCAGACCAGTGGAAAGAAGCGAAGAGGAGTGCAAAGGTTGTCGTTCTTGAAGGAGATGTCATCGCAGAGGAGAAAGATCAAAGATATCATCGCAGAGCAGAAAGAATAAGATACGGAGTACTTTGAAAAGATGGGGCCGTTTGTATGCGTTTGCACTTCGACTCACATGTAGAAGGGTTTTAAGTTGTTAATATCTTATTTTAAAAGACAAATTTACCCATCTACCTCAGCAGTAAGTAAATAATACGCAGATAATACGCAGATACTTCCATTCGATGAATTGCGCCGCTATAGCTTCTGCCTTCACAGGAATAGTGCGCTATATCCGCTACACCCAAACGCGATGCTACAGGTCCTCTGGTAGCGCCAACCTTGACCTCCGCTCCGCAATACCGCTATAGCACGTGATAGCGCCGCTATTAACATCACTGCAAAAAATAATAAACTAAATAAAGTAATACGTCTATGCACTCTAGTGTTTGTATGCTCATTTTATTTGTTAATTTATTTTAGGAATTTCCAAAAATAGAACAAAATACGTAATCTTTTTTATCTTATCGTATTTTTTATCTTCCTTATTTTTTTAGCTCTGATTTCATGTGTGAATTCATGTTAGCCGACCCCAAACTCTTTTGGGACTAAGACTTGGATGTTGTTGTTGTAGTTGTTGTAGATCAGAATAAGTAATAGACGCAAATCTAGATAACCTAAAGTCCTACAAGGTGGGAATCATTAATGAGGCTATCACAGAGCTTGGACCAAACAGTGTGATCTAATAAAACAAAAAGCACATTACCTAAGTTATTTTTAGTATTATATAGCTCGAACAAAATGCATTGAGGATGTATGTTATGATACAATGTATATATATCAGGAACCTGTCGGCCACAAACAGCAGCAACTTTGAGCAATGGTTCACCACAGTTGTCACAAATACAATTAGCCATGCGAACCACTTGCTCACACAGCATGACATTTGGACATAAAACAAGAGAAAGTTGATGGGACTTGGTGGCTTCCCGATCACCAAGACCTTCCCCTCCTGATATACTGCCACTTCGAGATAACTTATCAATCAATGGAACCAAGTAGCCATGGGTTTTCCCACTACCAGTCTCGGCAGCAACCACCACATCAGCTCCCGAAAGTATATTTGGTATGCATGCAGTCTGTAGTCAGATTCATAAGATGAAAATCCTTCTTAACAACAAATGAGATACTTAAGGTAATAGCATGATGTCAAAGCACTCAATAGGTAGCATATATTTACAATGCATTTTAACTTAAAGCTGTCATAGCAGATCATGGCAGTAACTATTCATTTTCATACAAAAGCTAGAAATATCATAACGTCTAAGGAATTAATTTTCAATATTTATTAATTTCTATCACAAGAATTGTAAAATTAGATATGTGCAAAATAATTAAAAAATAAATAATACCTTATTTTCTTAGTTTTTCAATATAAAGTCAAAGTCAAACACAAGAAGATAACTTTCCTTGGTAGTTTTTCTCTTTTCATAGCATTTTCTGGGATTCAAAATACCCTAGAATGGCCAGGATAAAAATATCAGATATTAAATGATTAATAGCATATTACTCCCTCCGTCCCATAATTATCTTCACACTTTCCTTTTTCGTCCGTCGCAAAATTATCTCTTCTTTCCCTTTTTTGGCAAAAAAAATGTGGTTCAGAACATTTCTTACACATTCTTACACATTTCTCTCTCCTCTGCACAACTCTTGCACCAAACAAAACTCACTATCTTAATCTGTGTGTCATTTGTACTTCAGGAGATAAATAGGAGGGAGTACTATATTAGCATTGTCTAAATAAAATTTATCACTTACAGCTCATGTGAATCTCATAATGTATTATCTGCTCTACTGAATTTAAACAAAAGCATGAATAAAGATAGTCCAATATATACCAAATGGCAATTCAAGCTTCAAATAGTAATGTTTAATGGCTTCTGAACTAGTCCAGAAATTGAATCTTTACTGCTCCGTTTGTTCCAAATAAAAGAAATCACTTTTACTATTCATTTGGTCCTATCAAGGCTTCTTTCAATGTTGGTTTTTTTTTTCAATCGAATTTATAGCATAATCTTTAAATATATGAATTTTAAAAACGAATTCTGAATATAAATAAAAGTTAGATTTAAAAAAATTAGTCAGGCCTAAAGATCCGGACTACATCCTTCTGTGTTGAGATTAGAATAAGAAATGACAAATGCATTTAAATGCAAAAATAAGGTGCGAACCTGAACCAGAGAGGGTCTCTGAAGGCCAATACTTGATAGAGATCGAGAAAGGTGGTCAGATACACCGAGAGACGTCCAGGACACGTCTTCCTCCGCGAAGAAGGTGTCGACACCGTTCCTTTCGGCGACGACTACGGCTGCTGTTCCGAATGCCCTTATCCTAAAATATTTCACCTTTGCTGATGCACAAGTTGGGACTGAAAGAAGTTTGGGCGTAGAAGGTGATAGCCTGCAAAATAGTCTAAGCATCGCAAAGGAGTACTGCAATCCCATTTTGAGCCTTTTCACTCTTAAAAAGCTATGGCTTCATAACGAGCTGTGGTTTGAATAGGGGTTTTAGTCCTAAAACTTTAACCATCGTTCCTCTTGAGAATATATCTACAAGCTACATATATGAGTTTGCACGCCGTATGAAAACATAAAATGTCTTTTCATACGGGATTGAGAATATAATTTTTTTAAAAATAGGGTAAAAGCTCTAATCTGAACAATAAAAATAGACGATTTTGCTATAGGTATAGCAAATGTATACTTCATTTGTACCCCATATAAAAACCATCCTCCACTTTTCTTCTCCTCCCTCTTTCATGCATCTTTTTCTTTTCACTCAACCCTTCATTCCCTCCTCTTTCTTTCTCTTTTCTTCAAATCTTAATTTCTTCTCCATTTCAAGATATCTCACCTTATTTAAGACTTCTCATTTTTACCATCTTTTGCACCTCCAACCTTCTTCTCCTGCTTCTCTCCTCTTCCGCCTTTTTTTCATTTCAAATGCAAGAGCTACAATAATCGGACGAACATGAGAGCTCAGTGACGTTGGATGCAACCTCAAGGGAAGACAACGACGAAGGTGCAGACCAAGAAGCTTTGAATGACTTGAGCAGTTCTTCTTTTCTTGATTTTGTTTTCTTGATTTTGTTTTCTTGATTTTTTGGTGTGTTTTCGAAATAAAAATGGTGGTCTGTCTGACAACAACTTGTAAGTGCAGTGTCTGTATTTGTTTGTAAGACTCGTGAAGTTCTGTCATTTGAAAAATAAATGTCTGTAATTGATATTTAATTGTTTGTCATTTTCGTGTTAGTTGTTTGTATTTGATTGAAGTTGCATGTATTTGTTTTGAGCTGTCTATACTGACTTGTCTGTCATGTTGTTGTGAGGAGTCTGTAAGAGTCGTGAAGTTGGCTGTCATTTTAAAATTACATGTCTGTAACTCATATTTAGTTGTTTGTCATTTGTTTGTGAGTTGTATGTAATTTGTGGTGTATATTTTTTGAGATGTAATTAGTTATCTTCAAAGTTGTCTTTGGGAGTAGATTGGGTAAAGTTTATAAGTCTATAAAAATAATGTATGACTGGTTATCTGTATTGTCTGTCTAGATATATGTATTATCTGTCTTTTTTATGAAACATATGCCTAAATGGTGATTCACAGTAAAGTAATGTTTGTACGTGTATACTCATTGTCTGCATGTGTATACTTTAATGCCAACTGTTGGTCCCGGTTATACTGGATACAGTCTAGAGGGGGGTGAATAGACTGTATTGGTTTTTAGCTTTTTAGACTAAGTACCAGATTTTCAGAATAGCCTGTTCTGTTGAAAGAACAGACTGGCAGCGGATGGGGTTCTGGCAGGGAGTTCTGTTAGCCTCAGAGAAGCAAAGGCAGAAGGCCTTCTGTTAACTCGTAGAACCAGTTCTGCTGAACACAGATACCAAGTCCAAGGAGTTATACAGTTCTATCTAAGTGCAAGTATTAAAAGCAGTAAGTAAACGACACCAGGGATTTTTATAGTGGTTCAAGGAACAACTCGTTCCTCTAATCCACTGTTCCACTAAGTTGTAAAAACTGCCGTTTACAAAGCCTTAGTCCTAGCACTTAAGAAGCACTCCACGTCTTCTTCTAGTCTAGATGTGTCCTGGGATGCACTGCCTGGCTTTCTTTAACACTGGTCCTTTCACTGAGTCTCCTTGAAGTATCACCACTTCACTACTCCAGTTATTTGGACGTCCTTCTTGTAGCAAGAAGAGTTTCTGTTGAAACTGAGGTTCCTCCAACTAGCTTCGTTACAAAATATGTGTAAGTGAGGAGCTTGAAGAGTTGAAGAACACTTGGAACTTTGCTTGAGTTGGAAAGAGTATTTTTCCAACTTCTGCCTTCTCTTGTAGAGGATAATAAGTTTGAATCTCAAGGAGGCTTTTGCTTTTCAGAGTTTGAATATCTTGCTTGGTTAGCAATGTGGTTGCAGAATTATGGCAAAGTTATTCGGTTGTTCTTCGTAGTGTATCTTTTATACTGAGGTTGTCTTCCCGTTGGAGGAGTAGAAGGACAAATGCATTAAATGAGCGATCAGTTGACTTGACTAGTAGAGCCCGGTAAGGTTGGCGGGTTACTATTTTGGGATAAAGTATTCCTGACATTTCGGCCAATCATCTGCAATTACTCTACGTAGCATGGGGTGCATTAAATGAGCATTTAATGCATGCACTGTAGCTTTTCCGTTTTATACTCCTAGCCGTTGAAGGAATCTTTAAGTTGACTTCCTGGTTCTTTGAAAATCTTCTAAGTGTCAGACCTTCTGGTGTCTTTATCATAGAGTATAACAGAGGAGGTCTGGAGCACTTCTGTTGGGAGTAGCCAACAGAGACCCAGAAGGGTTTCTGTCAGAGTCAATACTAACAGAGGTCCTGAGGACTTCTGTTCTGGAGCAGAGAACTAAGGGTCCTCTGTTCCAACAAAGCCTTAAGAGGCACTTCTGCTCTGGGAGCCCTTCTGTTCTTGAAGCACTTCTGTCAAGTCGAATACATCTATGAATTTTTACAAGGGAAAATTCTAATACATCATTTCTAAAGGGGTACTTCTAAAGTCCTAATGGATATAGCATCATCAAAATCTAAATACAATTATTCCTTACAATTTCCCCCTTTTTGATGATGCCAAAACCCTTTAACTATTTCCAGAGAAGTGCCTTCACCATAAAAATATTAAGTTTAAAAACTTCTATTAAAATCTTGGTGGGCAACTTGGCATAGGAAAATAGTAAGAGTAAGATACATTCAGATAGCAGAGTATAACAGAAATAAACAAACACAAACAGAAGGCAAAAAGACAAGAATTTGAGGAAAAGCACTTCAAAGTAAGAAGACAGAGATGTGATTTTATTAGATAGATATTACAGAGTTTAAGCCTTACACATTCTCCAGATTAGCTGCCTGTAGAGCTTCTTCCTCTAGTCTTTGAAGCCTGAGCAGTTCTTCATTTATTTCAGCTCTGATTTTGAACAGATTGCCCGACCTTTGATAAGATGCCCATATTGGAGAGAGTTTGCAGTCCAAGTAGTTGAGGACACCTTCATGTACAGTCTTTCCAGGGACAATGTTCTTCTTGTACCATTCTTCTGCTTCTTCAAGAGATCCTCCATACCTAACTCTGACAATACCATCTTTGTCTAGATAAAGGTGCTGTTGTTGGGTAGGAGTCATTTTGGCTTTCATTTCCTCAAATTGGGCTCTGTCAATGTTTTGAGAGCCACCCAATCTCCATTCAGTAAAGTTGAAACTTTTCTTCTTCTTGGTGCTCTTCTTGACTGGAGATGGGGGTCTGGGTATGCCTGCTGCCCTTTTCTTTTGTAAGGCAGCCTCAAAGTAGGGAGCCGGATCTACTGCAGGCTCACCAGAGGAGGGTGCTCTGATAGGAGTTCTGTGAGACCTAGGCCTGGTCTGTTGAGGATCCTCTTCCCCCTTTTTGGCATCATGCAAGTCTTCTATCATAAGACAGATCTTCTGGAATTCTGATGCTTGGGTTGAGGCTATCTGCTCCAGGGCCTCTGGTAATGTCTGAGTGACAGATGTAAGGCCTTCAATCAGTCCTTGCTGCTTCTGGATGGCACAGAAGATGTCCTTGTTGTTGACTTCAAGAAGCACCATCTTCTGATACCGGTCTCTGTCAGTAGATAGGAGGGCTTGAGCCTGTTCTTGATGAGTTCTGCACATCTGCTCAATAGAGGTCAAGTGCCTCTCTGTTCTGGCATCAGATTTCTTCAGAGCCTCAAGATGCTCTGAGATATGGTGGATTGCCTGTCCTTGACTCAGGAGAGTCTGTTGAAAGATTGACAAAGTGTTGTGGATGCCTACCACTTCTGTGGACAGGACATCTGTTCTGGCAGTAGAGGAGGTAATGAAATTGTTGAGGGTCCCAGTGATGTTCTCAAAGCGGTCAGAGATGAACTGCATCCCTGAATTCAGATTGTCATTCACATGAGCAAGATGCCCATAGTGTGTATCATTTATCTCTATCAGCTTGTCCAAGCCTTGGAGGATCTGTCCTCCAAATTCTTCTGCAGATTCAACAAATCTGTTGAAGGGAATATCATTCTTTTGTCCATCTGTTTGAGGCATCTCTAGACCTCTTCCCCTTGGTAGTGGGTGATGTTCTTGGACAGATGACAGAGAATGAACAAGTTGTTCATGTTCCAGTTGAGTCAGAGGAGGGGTCTTCTGTCTCTTGGAAGTGGCTTTGTGAGATTTGCTGATCATGAATCCATCCATGTCAGATGAATCTTCAAAAGACGAATAGATAGGGATTCTGTTGCGTACTATCTTCTTTTTCTTCCTCAGAGAGGGATTGGGAGCAACTGAGTCCCTAGAATACCCGTTGGGTGCAGAGATGGGGGAGATAGTTGTAGGATCTGAGTCTCTTAGGAACCATACAGGTTTTAGGTTTCCTGCAGGTTGTTGTGGAGGAGGTGATTCTGGTGGAGGAGATTGATGATCTGCTTCTGATGAGGATGAGGAGGAGGAGATCTGTTGAGGTGAGGGGTTCTGGTGTTGGGGTGAGGAGTGAATAGATGAGGCATTCTGGTGAGGGGGAGATGGGGGAGGGGAAGGTGAGCGGTTTCTGTAGGGAACAATTGCTCTGCAAGGAGATACAATGTTCATTTTGGGTGATGGAGGAGGGGTGTTCTGTTCAGGAGATTTATGTGGAGGGAGTTCTGGTGGAGGGGTTTCTGTGCTGGTGGGAGGTGAGGGTATATGAGGTTCTGTTGGAATTGAAACAGAAGGGGTTGGAGAGTTTACCTTAATGACGTTGTCCACGAGCAAGGAAGTCCTCCATTCCTTGATGTGCTCCATCATTGCTTGTCCTTCTGTCTTGAGAACAGAGGACTCTCCTGGGTTGAAGTTGGGCTGAACAGAGTCAGTCGCCATCTTGGTGAACAACCATTCTTCAAAGGCTTCAATTTCCCCATCTTCAAGAGGTTTGACAGTTTCCTCTGAGGGTGAAGAAATGAGAATGGCCTTACCCTTGTAGCTGGCCTTCTTCTTCTCAAGGACAGAGTGAAGGAAGTTGAAGGCAAAACACTTTGAGACATCATCAGTCCCAACCCAATTCAGGATTGC